CATCATAAATCATATTTTCCTGCCTCTTTATTTCTCAGGTAGATTTTAACTGGGTGCCTGACATTGTGGATTTTGCCTTGTTAAGTGTTGATACTTACGTATTTCTGTTAACAGTCTTGAGATTTGTTGGGAGATGGAATTAAATTACTTAGAAGCACTTTGATACCTTTGGTTCATGTTTTTTAGATGTATTAGGTGGGACCGAACCCATATTAATTCCACTGCTGGTTATTCACTGCTGAAACAAGACCTTTATGAACCCAGGGCCCCATGCATTACCAGTTTTCCCAGTGTGGTAGGTGGGAGCAGACACTGTTCCCAGCCCTGGACTAGGACAGTCTTCCTTCGGCGTCTCTGGGGAGCTGGTTCGCTCTCAGATACCCACATCTGAAGGTGCGCGAGTCCCTCACGTAAAATGGCACAGTGTTTGCACCAACATTTTCCCATGTGTGTTGTCACCTCTTGATCACTTAGTACACGTAACACAGGATAAATGCTCTGTGACTGGTCATTGTGCTGTGTGTTTAGGGAAAAGTCTGTGTGTTCAGGACAGATAGAATTTTTTTCCCCAAATACTTTCGGGTCCCCGTTGAATCCAAAGAACACACAGATCCGGAGGGCCAGCTGTGCTGGGTTCTCACTGGTGCTTTCCCCAGCCCTGGGGATTTCCTCACACAAACTTGCCACCCGGTACTGTGCTGACTGAGGGGACCCCTGCACATCTCTGGGTCCCTCTGAGTGCAGCGCTCTCCTCTGGAGCTCTGCCTTGCAGACCCCAGCCTTTCCTGCTGGGCCTCACCAGCTCCATTCAGCCCAGAACCTGTGCAGGGGCAAGTGTAGGGCTCGCCGCATCTGTTCTCCCCTGCCCTGCAGAGGCCACTGGCCTTCACGTTGCCCCCGGGGCTGCAAAGCCGTGGTCTCGCGTGTCTCTGCTGTGATTTAGGCCGCAGGGTAACCCTGTGTGACTGCATCTCATCTGGAAGCTCCAGTCCCTGCTTCACTTACTCTGCAGAAGTTGCTCAGTAAATACGCAGCTCCATCCGCTGCATATAAAATTGAAGTCATCAAAAACTACTTGCGCTGAGTGTGGTGGCGCACGCCTGTAATCCCAGCATTCCGGAAGCTGAGGCAGGAGGATCACCACGAGTTCCAGCCTGGGCTACATAGTGCTTTCAAGGCCAGCCCGGACTACATAGCAAGACCCTGTCTCAAAAGAAAAAAAAAAAACTACTTGCATAAACTGTACCTGTAGCTTTTGCCTCCACTGGTGCTTAGGGACCATGGTGTGGATGTGGCTAACTGTGCACACATGAACCCCCACCTCCCTTTATTTGTATCATGTGGGAGAGAGAATATATTGTTTTGCTACTCTAAAGCATTCCTAAACCGTCTCACATTTTACTCCAAAAAGCAGTTTATGTGATAAACCAAATGTAGATAAAGCAAAAATACTGCTGACAATACAATCCAAGTAATATACCTTCACCCTATAATTATTTCAGTGTTTTTGTATTGAAGCTGTATTGTTAAATAAAATACTGGGAATACAGCATTCAGAATCTATAAAAAACTAAACTGGCTGGGCATGGTCGCACACACCTATAATCCCAGCACTGGGAAAGCTGAGGCAGGAGAGTCTCAAGATCAAGACCAGCCTGAACAATTTTGGGAAAACCTGTCTCAGAAAAACACAATTAAATTAAATTTTAAAAACTAGCCTTGGCCTACATTAAGATAAACTTTTAAATCCACAGTTATTTTTAAATGACAGTAATTAACTGATTATAAATGTTACAAATTATTGCTTATCAGGTAGAGATTTTCTGTTCTTAAACTCAAACACAAAAGTTCAAAAATAAACTCATACACATAATTATCCACATTTTCATGCTTATGTGAAGATGTTATACACTTAATTGTAAAATAATCATAGAGATAGTCAGTTTGACAAGTTGCAAATAAATTTCTTTTAAGTATCTTACAAAATTGTGTATGTTTTTATTCCTGTGTCTTCAACTGCCATTGAAGAATGGACAGGTTAATCATCCCTAGTCTGAAAATCAGAGTGCACACAACTCTTTCTGAACATTGACATGATGCCAGAAGTGGAAAATCCTGTACTTAACCTCATGAACTGGCTACAAAGTACAGACAGCCTAAAAATAGTGGACAAAATTCTTACAGGTTAGCAGGCTATCATGGTACACACTTGTAATCCCAACACTCAGGAGGCTGAGGCAGGAGGATCTAGAGTTCAAGGTTACGCTGGACGTATGATAAGACCCTGGCTCACAAAGCGAATTAATAAAGAGTGAGTGAAGTGAAGAAAAAAAAAGGAAAGAGAAAAGAAAAGCCAGTCCTGGCAGTGCAGGCTTGTAATCCCATCACTGTAGGAGACTGAAGCAGGAGGGTTGCAAGTTGAAGCCCATCCTGGGCAGCCTAGTGCCTTAAGGAGACTCCATCTCATACTAGAGAGCACGGAAAGGGATGGGATGTAGCTCAGTAGCTCAGGAGAAGGCCCTAGGTTCAGTCTCTGCCACCAGACAAGGGGGTGGGGGAGAGAATGCTCTTTCAGGTTAAAAAGAAAATACAAATATGTGTGTATATAAGTTAAGAGAGAAAAGAATTTTTTTAAAAAATGTACCTTCAGACTAGGTGTATATGAAACATAAATGATTTTCCCATTTAAACTATTACAAAGCCAAAAAAAAATCCAAACACTTCTGGTCCCAAGCATTTCACTCAACTTGTATTTGAATAGATTGTAAAAACAGCTAGCTACTCAAAGTCAGATTTTAAGTGTAGTTTTTTTCTTAAATGTCCTATCCTGGCATCTGTGTGGAGCGAAGCTGGATTCTGTGAAAGCAGCGCTGGCCGTGCGGGAGGCAGCGGCACAGCTGGGAGAGGCCCTGTCCTTGCTCCCCTGCGCGTTTGCTGTGTGCTCCTTCCGTGGGCTGGGGCAGGGAGGGGGTGCTCAGGGAGAGTCACCCAGCCACCCAGTCATGTGTGAGATAGCGTTCCAGAGAAAACCTGCGACATCGCAGAGGAGCTTGCAATTAGGGGAGCAATTAGGGCTGCAATTACATTACACCGGAGGGCTACAGGTTTAATCCCGCATTTCTCACAGCCCCCGGGTAACTGCTGGGTATTGCAGTTAATAAGGTGACCGAAGGGCACCCTTCCCAGGGGCTCTGTTGCCCTCCGCAGGCGTTTGAGGCCCTCGGACATAAGCACGAGGCACTGAAGTTCCCTTCCCCATGATGATGTCCAAATTCTGGTGCCGTGAAAGCAGATTAGAACTCTGCACACCAGTGAGGAGGGCAGCAGGCTGAACGCTTTGAGTCATCAGCAGTTGGGCGTTCTTACGCGCACCGTCGCTGTCCGTTTGTAAGCTGCCGTGTGAGGCTCTATGTGAATGGCAGCTCCGCATAGCTGGGATTCGCAGTGCCCATCATCAGGACGAGGGTGCACCTCCTCGGGGCATTATAGACCGGGGGTCTTCCTATCTATCACAGGTGACAGTTGCTTAGTGTTAGTGGAGAGGTTGCTGCTCTCCAGTTTGCACACGGTGTGATCAAAAGTGTTGTGGATATTTAAATTTTAAAAATTTGTTACAGTAGAAGACATGCGCTGGGGATGTAGGTCCAATCCCCAGCACCACAGAAAAAAAGACATTGCTAGTAATCCCCCTCAAAATGCTCTCCCTGTCTTCATACACACTCACCCTATCACTCCTGCCACGCTTCTGCTTGTTTGGTTTTGTTGTTGTTGTTTTGAGACAGGGTCTCACTGTGTGGCCCAGACTGGCCTTAAACTCATGGTGATCCTCCTGCTTCATCCTCCTGGGGGCTGGAATTATAGGCGTGCGCCACCACACCCGGCTTCCTGCACTGTTTGAAGCAGTTGTAGAAGTCACTCCCATGAACGTCTTTCCAAGGCTGCCAGATGCCATCCAGCAGAAAGGCAGCCCTGTAGAAACACGATAGGTGGCCGTCCACCTGATGCCCTGGGTCTGGCACTGTGCAACCTCTGGCTCTTCCCCCAAGTCAAAGTGACCATGAACAATAAACGTTTTGAATCCATTCAGAGGCAGCCATGACAGTGCAAGTAAGGACACTCAGGAACTAGGGCTTTCAGAGCTGCTTCAGAAAGTGGCAAGAGGCCGGGCATGGTGGCACGTCTGTAGTCCCAGCACTCGGGAGGCTGAGGCAGGAGGATCACTGCGAGTTTGAGGCCAGCCTGGGTTGCAAAGTGAGTTCAAGCCAGCCTGAACTGCATAGTGAAACCCTGTCTCAAAAAAAAAAAAAGACAAAGGAAGTGGCAGGAAAGAGGGGGTAAATGTGTTTGAAGCAAGGGGGAGGATTTTGAAAGAGATTAATGCTAACGTGTCTTCTACTGCAATAAGATTTTGTACTGTAAATATTCACTGAATTTTTCGTTCATGCCTTGTATTTTGGTTTTTGTTGCTGATAGTCCAGCGGTGCTGATCAGTCTGTGCTCCCGTGTTCCCGGTATAGCACTTGCAAACCGGGACAGCTCTGTGTTTAAAACACTGCTGCGGGCTGGGGTGGGGCAGAAGCAGCAGACTGGAGGGCTGAAAACCCCGTGCTGGCTCCAATCTCTACCCCTCGTGGCCGGGGTGGTCCGGAGAGCTGAGGGACAAGGCGGAGGCAGCACGGCTGGTTTGCTGTGCTGCACAGGCCCTCGAGCTAGGAGCCCTGTCAGCATTTGTCGGTGTCATTGCCTTTGAAAGCAGTGACAGGTACCAGAAAGACTTCCGTGGTCAGCTTGGCAGCCACCTGCCCTGGGGATCCGTTTCCTGCTGCAGTTCTGACCTCAGCTCCCTCTGGGGACCCACACTGCTTCTGAATTTTGAGAATAAGGACAAGCCCCTGTTCCTCTGGAAATGCTACTGGCAGAATCACTCAATACTCTTTCAAATGTTCTTGGTAAATTTTTTTAAATGTTCTGGTTGTAATCATAGAATCTGTGGATTTCAGTTCGCAGTTAACATGTTTCGGACATTGCCGCCTTCCTCCAACCCTACGGGAGCAGAATTTGACCCCGAGGAAGACGAACCAACGTTAGAAGCAGCCTGGCCTCATCTGCAGGTACTGGTCCCAGAGGGCAGACCCGAACAGAGGGCAGGCCCAGTGTGGGGTCCCATTGCGGGCTTCGGGGAGCAGGGTCGTGGCCCAGGACCCCTGGCTTTGGGTAGCACAGTGTGTATGTGCACATGTGTGTGTGTCTGTGTGGTATAACCCTACCTGATGTGGAATTGTGGAGTCTGTCTTCAGTAGCACTGCCCACCGTGTGGATACACCCCGGAGCTGGGCCTAGAGGTCCAGCCTGACCCGCTCTCCGTCAGCTTCCCGTGCGTCGCACGTCCCCGAGAGCCCCTGTGCCGACCAACACCTTTTTCTCGCCTCTGCGCGGCACAAGGCTGACTGGTTAGGAGGCACGGGGCAGCGTGAGCAGAGTAAGGCCGGATGTGCGAGGGGGAGGGCGGCACACCCGGAAGAAGGCAAAGAGATGGGGAGCAGGGCCGGAGCCAGGTAGTGCTGCAGCCAGGGAAAGGGGGCCAGACGGCCATGGCCTCTGGTTTCTACGCCGGGTCCTGGCCCGTGGGCCGCAGCGTCAGGCCGCAGCGTCGGCCCAGTGCGGTCGCTGGGTGAGACGAGAGGCGGGCACTGCAGCTGTCAGTCCCAGCCCAGTGTTGGTCTCAGCCTGGTTGAGGCAGCGAGCTCTGTGGGCTCTGAGCAGCAGGTGGAGCGTGGGCGACACAGTCCGGGGAGGACATTTGCTTGTGCCACTTACGGGGTGGTCTACAGGCCTTACTAAGTAAAATAATTACCGTCACCGGTTATAATTGAGGTAAGCCACATAACGCAGCATGAATCTGTAGGGATGAGGCTTTTATAAAAGCCTAGCATTTGCAGGCAAGTAAAGATTCAACTTACAGTGTATTTTAATCTCCAGTTGATAAAATACCACATTGACTCATTGTTGTTTTTTCCTCCTAGCTTGTTTATGAATTTTTCTTAAGATTTTTAGAGTCCCCAGATTTCCAGCCTAACATAGCGAAGAAATACATTGATCAGAAGTTTGTGTTGCAGGTAAGTCCGGATAGCGGGGCTGCGGCCTGAGCTGCAGAGCGCGCCCGTGCTCACTGAGTTTCTCTTTCTTCTTGAAGCTTTTAGAGCTCTTTGACAGTGAGGATCCTCGAGAGAGAGATTTTCTGAAAACCACCCTGCACAGAATCTATGGGAAGTTCCTAGGCCTGCGCGCGTACATCAGGAAACAGATAAATAATATATTTTATAGGTAAGTCCCCGCAGCCACGCCCGTCTGCATGGTGCTGCTCATCCCCACGCGATGTCACCCTCCGTGTCCTGGTGCAGGTAGGACCATGGAGGGCGGGTTGACAGCCTGTTTGTCATGCTCAGGGACCTGGGTTATGCTGTGCAGGGGCCAGGCTAGCCCCGTCCAGCCAGCCCCGCCCATGCCCCAGCCTGGCCCCTAGAGCTCACCGTGGTCCTGCTCGCTGCCCTGATGTGTGATGGACCCGACGCTGTCCAAATGGCACGTCCCTTCCACTGTGTGCTGCTCACTCCTCACCGAGCCCCCGTGGGGGAGGGGCGCTGAGGGAAGTGACAGCGTTCACCTGGGAGGTGTGTGTGCCTAGGTGTGAGGTCGGGACTCCTGCCGTGCACGGAGAGGAGACCTGCTGGAGCTGGAAGCACAGCAGGACAGCGCCATGCCTACCCCGGGGCAGCTAGCCCAGGGCGCAGGAAGAACACTGCAGCATTCCCAGCGCAGTGGTAGCAGTGGTGGCCGTGGCCGTGACCTTCCACTTGGGCACACCACCCTGTTCCTGTCCTGGTCATGGCTCCGGCCAGGCACATTCATTCTCACGTTCTCACTTCCCTCCATCCGCAGACACCGTGTGCCTGCACTGTCCCCTGGATGACAGGCGCGGCCTTCCCCCGCCACCTGGGCTCTCACCCTGCTCAGGTGTGGCCTCCTGGGCCGTCCTCTCCCACCTGCTGCCCTGCCAGTCCCTCAGCCCCTGGATTCCCGGAACGCCCCTTCAGTTGGAACCCCTGCCTGACGGGGAGGGCGTGGCTGCATCCCCACAAGGACAGCCTCGTGTGGCTGATGGGTCACCCCTGCAGTGGCACAGAGTGAATGATGGTGGAGGAATAGTTCATGCGGCTCCCTGTTTGTCCTTGGAACTCTGCAGACAAGCAGTTTATCTGCAGCTGTTGTCTTAGCTAGTCTCTCTAAGACATTAATTCACTGTAGTGTTGGCTAAAGAAGTGACAACCTGACAGCGATAGGGACCGCGATGGCGGCCCTCTGTGAGACAAGTGAGTGAGTTTCATGCACCCTAGCTTCAGGGCCAAGACCAGGTTATTTCCCGGCAGCGGACCCGTGGTGTCACCCACGGCCACATACAGGCCGGCGGGCCCTTACTTAGTCACAGTGACTACGCAAGGGAGGAGGGCGGGGAGCCGAGGCAGGCTGTGGCAGGTGCAGAGGCTCACGCCCAGAGAGCGGCCTCCTCACTGCAGTCCAGCCCTGCCCTCCCAGCCGCGCGTGCAGCCTGGTACTTGGAGTCACTGGGATCAGCTCTGGTCCCTTATCGTCACCCCAGTAGTCGTTCGGCGCTGGGAGCCTCTCTGTGTGTGTGGCTTTCCTCTGAAGTCCTTCCGAGTTCCCCATGTCCCGTGTATATCAAGGAGCCCAGGCCAAACAGCCCAGCCCCAGCTCGCCTGCTATAGCGAGAGAGTGATGTCACTCTCCCAAGTGGTTTGTGCCTGTTTTCCACCTCGTGGTACTGTTCCTTTTTAACAGGATCATTACTTGGCTGATGTCCTTATAGATCAGAACATTATATACAGGGCTTAAATAACATCGAACAGGTACAATTTAAATTTCAGCCTTGTAATCCTAAAATTAAAGCTCTGCCTACAGTGTTTTTGTTTCCCCAACACAAGTGGGTTTGTTCAGATAGCAGAACCACAAATGTGTGGAACACCGCACTAGAGAATTACACATCATGCGGTTTAGTCCACGTTAAAGGATCAGTGCTAAAATGTGATATTTTTGTGGCTTTTTTTCTTTCACTAATCTTTTCTACAATTACCTTGCTGTGTACATGCCAAAGTAAACATATTATTTAGATTCTAATTGGTTTGGGCTTTAAACATCATTTTCACTTAAGAAAAAAAAAAAAAATCAAAGTTCTTGAGACATATATTGCCAGGGATGTAGCTTAGCAGCACAAATGCCTGTCTGGCAAGCTCAAGGTCCTGAGTTCGATTCCCGGTACCAAAAAAAAAAAAACAAAAACGTTTGAGAGATGTATTTATTTCCTTAAGTTCTATGTAATACAAGTTGAGCATTCAGGATCCGCAAATCCAAACTCTGAAATCCAAAGCGCTCCAAACTTTAAAACTTTGTACTGACATAACCCCAACATGGAGAATCGCACACCTGCCTTCATGACAAGCCACCACTGAAATGCAGGCACCGCCAGGTGCAATGCACACCTGCAGCCCCAGCTGCTGGGAAGCTAAGCCAGGAAGGTCGCCTGAACCCAAGAGCGCCAGGCTGACCTGGGCAAAGAGCAAGATCCTGTCTCAAAAAGTAATTTTTAATTAAAATTAAATCAGACAATAAAAATATTATGTAAAATTTCCTTCAGGCTATATATAAAAGGCATAAATGAATTTCAGCTTTCAACTTGGGTCCCATCCCTGAGATTTTAAATAATAAATATATATTAAATAATAATAAGTAAAATAATATTTAAGGCATATAATACATATACATACATGTATATCCACACAAATGTTCTAACATCAGAACAGTTCTGGCATCTAGAACATCGCAGATCCTGAGTATTTCGGTAAGGGTTCTCTGCCTGTGCAGCAGTGCCTCGTAAGAAAAGGCACTTTGATGGCACGGCTCGGCCTCCTGAGGGCACTGCTGTTCCTGCTCTTTCTCTGGGTAGGCATGAGTGCGAGGGTGGGGCAGCGAGTCCTTGTGCTCTGCTATACTGCCTGCACTGCAGGCCTCCGGTCACTGTCGGCTGTCCTTACAAACCTGTCACCTGCCCTGGGCTCTGGACTGTTGCACTCCCCGTGCTGTCCGCTAGGCTGGGGTGTCTGCAGGGACTTCTCGCTCATGTGCCGTGGCTCCACTGGGCTCCCTGTCCACGCGGCCTGTGGTGGCACACTCGGGCTGCGTGAGCATCAGGCCTCAGGCGTGCAGCTTCTTGCAGGCAGCCGCTGCCTCCAGCAGGGAGGCCACTGAAGCCGCCAGTCCTCGGAGCTGCAGCTCCAGCCTGGGGCTGGTGTGAGTTAGTTAGTGTTGGCAAGGCAGGTGCAGGGACAGCCGACCTGGGAGGGGAACGTCAGAGTTTTGGGGTCCTCTCTGGCCTGCCCTGAGCCGAGCTCCGTGGCTTTCCTCCAGCTTGGTCACCTTTGGAAAAGCAAGGACGCCTCTTCTCATCTTCCCCCTTACATCTACTTCACGTTGAATTAGGATAACTAGGAATTAAGAACTGCTGGTCAGGAAGAAACAGCCCTGTTGGCTCAGGAAGCCAAGTGTCCTGGAGCTCACGGAGCTGTGAGGCACCTTCTGCACACCTTGTTGCCAGTTCCCTGCTGTACTTCCAGGCGAACTGCCTCTCTTCTTCTCCCTCTCCTTCCTCTTCCTCTTCCTCTTCTTCCGTTTGTCTGTTTTTGAGACAGGGTCTCATCACGCAGTTCAGGTTGGCCTTGAACTCGTGCTGGCCTCGAATTCATAGCAGTCTCCTTGCTCTCGAGTGCTGGGATCACAGCGGAGCGCCCCCGCGCCCAGTGTCCCTGTATTTCAGTGTTTCTTTGCTTAGCGGTCCTGATGCCTGTGGGCTGTGTCTCCATTTACCTAGTGGCCTTGGTGCCTTGCCTGCCCCTCCCCATCACCCCATTTTACAGAACTTGTTTTTTCTCCCTTCATGCCCCGTCTTTGTGAGTCTGTCAGAGACCTACCTTTGGGGCTCAGTTAAGCCATAGTCCCTGCGTGGATCCTGGCCATTTGGGGACCTACGAATGTCCAGACCCCGTGCTCACGCCTGCTTCATGTCTGTGAATGTTTGCCTGTTCTTTACCCTAAGGTCACTGCTCTTTCTTTCAGACAGGGGCTGAGATTTCAGCCTGGTGTTTAAATCTTCACAAAGTTGCTTTTGTCTCTGAGTGAAGTTTCACATGCTGGCAGGAATCTTTCCCAGCATGCCTCTGGCTTCACACCAGTCCTCTGTGTGTGTCAGGGCAGACGGGCGCCTCGTGCACCTGGCTGAGGGGCAGGAGCGGGCTTTCTGTTTCCCAGGGAGTCCTTCCGGGGGAGGGCGTTTTCCTGCTTCCTGACAAGTCCCTGCCCCGCTCCTTGTCCCCAGTTCTTGCAGCAGATGTGTTTTAAGCCTCAAACAGATGCCAGGCTTGGTCCTACACCACGAACACAGTAATGAGAAGTCTTCTTCCCTGTCCAGAGGGAGACACAGGCGACAAGCTGACACAGGGGGTGTGCCTGGCCCGGGAGCTCGGCAGGAAGAACCTGCTCTGAGGAAGGTGCCAGGAGGTTGAGCAGACGGGCACTCGGGGTCACCTGTGAGTCAGCTCAGAGGCTGTGTGGAGATGTCAGCGGGGCAGTGAGCGGCACAGTCCAGGAGGTGCACAGGAAAGAGCATTTATCTTCTGCCCCCACTGTGCTCAGCGTTGCGAGCTTTAAAACTGAGTAAGACATCAGCTCACACTGAAATGCAGCAAAAGTAGTAGGTGAATTAATGGATAGATAGAATGTGTTTACATACTGCGGAACAAATAGAGCAGATTGTAAATGACTGAGTCTGGGTGGTGGACATACGAGTGTACACAATAAAATCCTTAACACTTTTCTGGATCCTTGAAATTTTTCAAAATAAAATACTGGAACTAGGCATAGAACCCCACACTTGTAATCTCAGCACTCAGGAGACAAAGGCTGGAGGACTGTGAATTTAAGGCCAGCCTGGACTCCCTAGAGTTCTAAGCCTGCATGACAAGACCCTGTCTCAAGACTCAGACAAAAAAAAATTAAAAATACTGTCGTTACAATCCAGGGAAGAGACTTGAGCAAGACACGCTCTCTGCCTTTGAGGCATGTGCGTCTCCAGGCCTCGGGGAGCCTCTCGGGTTCCCGCAGAGCTCTTGGGGCAGTGACCAGCTGCGTCCAGAAGTGCTGTTTGTTTGGTTTTTGTTTTTTCGTTTTTGAGGGATGGTTTTTCACAGCACTGGGGGTGAAACCCAGGGCCTCTTGGTGCTGGGCGAGCTCTCTACCCCAGAGCCGCCTCCCAGTCCCGTGAAGGGTTTCACAAGTGCCGGTGCCACGTGGCCCAGCTTTCCTCCTGCAGGCTTTACTTTCTTATCCAGAGGATTTTAGTCTTTCCAGGTGTTATTTCAGGATCTGATTCTAATAGACAAATTGTTTTTCTAGGTTTATTTATGAAACAGAGCATCACAATGGCATAGCAGAATTACTGGAAATATTGGGAAGGTAAGTCTCTGCACTGCTGGTAGCCAGTGACCAAGTAACGGCTCTCTCATCCCTATTGTTCCATGGGTATATCGTACACCTCAATATCATTGCTATGGAAACTATGGAATTTCAGTTATTTTCTCAGGAGCAGTGTTAAAAATAGTTACAGAAGAAGGTTCAGATGAGAAGCTTATTAGAAAAATAGATTATACATTTGCAGTATTGACTGCTAATTATTTCAAATTGCTTTGACTATAGATTCTTCATACATACACTTACAATTAACATTTCAAAATTTTCATCATATTCTGGGGGAAGTTCTTGCGTGCTATTATTTTTTAATTGATAAGCTATCAGTTTTTGTTTGTTTTGTTTTGTTTTTCTCCGGTACCAGGAACCGAACTCACGACCTTGCGCTTGCCAGGCAGGTGCTTTTGCTGCTGAGCTAAATCCCCAGCCCTAAGCTATCAGTTTTACATTAGACCTCCTAGGCCAGACAGGGTACCGAGGTAAATATCTTGCAAGCACTTTCCACCTGTGCTTCCTTGGGAACACAGTGAACATTAGCAGCTCAAGGTTCTGAAGGAAAAAAAGACACTTGATTATGATGGGAAATTTGTAAATATTCAAACCCCGAATACATTCTGTCTTTACAGTATAATTAATGGATTTGCCTTACCGCTGAAAGAAGAGCACAAGATTTTCTTATTGAAGGTGTTGCTGCCTTTGCACAAGGTGAAATCACTGAGTGTGTACCACCCCCAGGTAAGAGCAGGGAGCACCGACCACGGCGTTCCGCGGCTTCCAGGAGTAGGTCCCGCCAGTGCTCAGGTCCCACTAGTGACTCTGGTGACAAGCCTGTGGCGACAACAGAAGTCACAAGAGGGTGCAGAGCTTCCTTCTGTGAGATCAGAACGCCTCCTGGGTACAGAGCTAGGAAGCTGGCCACAGCGCAGAGAAGGGGCTGGCTGGCTCTGAAGGAGCCCTGGGCTTCTCGGGGGATAGCTTTTCCTTGCTGAAATTTAAAACCAGCACCCTAGAGACAAAAGCCTGTTGGTCATGGCCAGTCAAATGGCCTGTGACACGGTTGGCTTTTTTTTTTAAATAGATTTTTTAAGCTGTTGGGATCTCCTGTAGTTACACTGATAAGTGGGTAAGTGTTACTACCTGGTTAGGTGGTGGGAGATGTGGATGCTTTGAGATGTGGGTCCCCCTCATGCTTTCCTAGGCAGGACCTAGCTACGCGGACGGCAGCTTTGGGGCTCCCATGAGTGGCGGTGATATATTTGTCACTTTCAGCTATCACCCAGCCTGCCCCTGGCAGGCTTGCCATTGTGTTCAGAGCACACAGGACTGAGTCCTGCCAGGCCTCGCTTTGGGAGGTGGCAGTGTGGGGCGAACGACAGAAAGTATGTTCTATGGGGCTGGGGATTTAGCTCAGCGGCTGCCTGCCTGGCAAGCGCGAGGTCATGAGTTTGATTCCTGGTACCGGAAAAAAAAGAAGAAAGTATGTTCAAGACACTGGCTTCCTGGGATAGATTTTACTTATTTTCTCGGACCGCTATTAACTGGTAACATTTTTATGCCCAGGCAGTATGTTATCATATTAATTGCTATACTAAAGGAATTAATAGTTGAGAAATTTAAGACAGAACCAGATTGTAATTTTTTTCCATCTGTTAGATTACTTGTTCATTCTAATCTTCTAAAGGACCACAGGAAGCCCATCACACTGGGTTGACTTGCCAGTGGTATTAGTCTAAAAGTTGTTTCCTGATTTTTTGGTTTTTTGTGGGTTTTGCCTTCCAATTTATCCCCGATTAATGGGAAGGAAGTACGGGTTGGGCGTCAATCCCAGGGCCCTCCTTGGGCAGGTGGCACGTGCCGGGCCACCTCAGGCCCTGTCTGGCTAGAGGAAGGTGTTTTACAGACACTCCCGTGGTGACGGCAAGCACTAATGCTCCTCCTCCTGTGGCTTCCCAGCTGGCGTACTGTGTCGTGCAGTTTCTGGAGAAGGACAGCACCCTCACCGAGCCGGTAAGTGTGCACGGCTGCCCCGAGAATGTGGACGCGTGTGCCCCCGAGTGTCAGTACCCAGCACGCCTGCCTCACGAGGCTGCCGCACGGCTCTCCCTCTGCATTTGCGGCGCTCACGAGCAGGCCGAGTCCACCGCGTGCCGCAGGCTCTCTAGGGCGGCAGTGTTACAGCAGGGTCCCTTTCTGAGTGTCTGTGTGGTAAGTTTGTGCCTCTCGTGCTGCACCGGGGCCCTCGGAAAGCAGAGCCCCTGAGCACAGCGATCCCCAGCCTGCGTGCAGTGGAGCCCCTCGCTGCTGCCTGGTATGAGTGACCAGGTCCCGAACTCCGGTCGGAGGCAGCGCAGAGACAGGATACGGTGCTTGTCTTACTAAAAAGAGCTTGTTACCCTGAAAGCGCTTTCCAAAGTAAATGTAACCCTCTTATAATCAGTGTATCCCAGGTGAAGGGAGGATCACTAATTTTCTTGGCATTTTTATTTATTAAAAATTTTCAAAAGGCTATACTAGCCAAGATTAACAAAAAGCAGGTATGTCAGATGCCAGTCTAAGCATTTGTTTTTGTTTTTGTTTTTATTTTAAGATTTTTATATGTATAATGACATGTAAATTTTTTTTTTTTTTTTTATACCAGGAATCAAACTCAGGACCTTGCACTTGCCAGGCAGGTACTTATGCCACTGAGCTATATCCCCAGCCCGGTCTAAGCATTTGCATACACTTTTTAAAATCAGCTTTTTTAGGATATGATTCACATACTCTACAATTTGCCTGTTTAAAGTATACAGCTCAAAAGTTTGAGCTGGGCATGGTGGCATATGCCTGTAATTCCAGCACTCTGGAGGCTGAGGCAGGAGGATCGTTGCAAGTTTGAGGCCAGCCTGGGCTACAAAGTGAGCTCAAGGCCAACCTGAACTGCATAGCAAGAGCAAGACCCTGTCTCAAAAAGACAAAGAACAAACAAAGAAAGCCAAAGTTGAAATCACATTGAATCTAGAACAAAATGCACACATTTTATCCTGATATTTATTATATAAGTCCCTCATATATAAAATAAAGATAATACAAATAAAAGGAATCCCAGCACCCAGGTGGCTGCAGCAGGAGGACTGTTGCGAGTTCGAGGCCAGCCTGGGCTACAAAGCGAGTCCAAGACCAGCCTGAACTGCATAGCGAGACCCTGTCTCAAAAAAAGACAAAAAAAAACTGATAGATCACACTATTAACATTGTTAAATTATGGTAAAATATACACATATATAATGTTGGGGCTGGGGATTTAGCTCAGCGGCAAAGCGCCTGCCTGGCAAGCACAAGTGAGTTCGGTTCCCGGTACCAGAAAAAAAAAAAAAAAAAAAAAAACCACACATATATAACATGAAATTTGCCTTTTTGACCATTTGAAGTGTGCAGTTCCGTGGCATTGATTATATTCTCAGTGTTCTTCAACCATCTCCACAGTCTGTTTCCAAAACATCATCATTTCAGACAGAAACCCCGGACACGTTCAATGACAATACCCTGTTCCTCGTCTCCTGGCCCCTGCTGACTTGTAATCCACTTGCTGCCTCTGAATTTGAGTATTCTAGCTGCCCTTGAAAGTAGAACCATACGGCTGTGTTCCTTTTGTACCTGGCTTCTCCTTATTCCTTTGTACCTTCTCCTACCTAGCATACCATCTGCACACTTCATCCCACACCATCAGAACGGCATTCCTTGCTGTGGCTGAAAGTGATCCCTCAGGTGTTCGGACCACGTTCTGCTTATCCATCAGTGAACGCTGGCGTCACCCCATCTCTTGGCATTTGAACAGTGGGCTGCAGACATAAGGGTGCACGTGTGTGTTCATGTCTGTGTTGAGTTCCTTAAGATGTACCCCCAAAGCAGAACTGCTGAGTGACGTGGTAGTTTAGCTTTCTGAGGTGCTGCTGTCCTGTACCCCACAGCCTTCGCACGCACCATCCTGCACTTGCTGTGGGCTGGGAGACACTGTGCAGGGCCCCCCACGCGCCTGCAGCCTCACCAGTGCTCATTTTCGTTCTTTTTTTTTTTTTAATCTTTTTGAGACAGGGTCTCGCTGTGCAGTTCAGGCTGGCCATGAGCTCACTTTGTAGCCCAGGCTGGTCTCGAACTCGCAACGATCCTCCTGCCTCAGCCTCCCAAGTGCTGGGATTACAGGCATGTGCCACCACGCCCGGCACATTTTCGTTCTTTAGAGGGGTTGTTGTTGCTGTCGCCGTCCCAGTGAGTGTGAAGGACAGTGCTGTCACGGCTCCGTGTACTGATGACGTCGACTCTTCATTATGCGTGAGCCGCTGTGTCTTCTTTGGAGAAAAACCTGTTTTAATGCATTGCCCATTTTTTTAAACTAGCTTTCTTTTATCACTGAGTAACAAAAATAAGGAGTGTAGGTGTCATTTAAACATTTGAGTCCTCTTTTAACAATCACGGTTCTAATAGTAAGGCAGATATTGTAACTCCTGAGTCCTTTCTGATCCATTTTCTGTATTTCAGTTTTCTTATGAGATTGTAGTTTTTATAAAGAAAATGCAGAGAAATTCTTAGTGAATTATTGTACCAGCTTATGGGCTGTGCCTTCTTCAAAGCTCTTACATTTTGTGGTGGACTCCCTCGTCTCACATGCAGAATTCCAGGTTGCAGAGGCTTAGCCGCCAAGCCGTGGCTGGGCCTGCCCAGGGCCTGCTGCGCTCCGCCCCTCCCCTGGAGGGGCGGAGGGGGGGGGGAGGCCTCCCCGCTCCCCTGCCGCTGGCTCCTGGCTAGGGTTAGGGAGCTGGGATGAGGGACTTCAGCATCAAGTGCTGTCGCGGTGGTTCCTTCAGTTCCCGTGAGGGGGTTTTCTTTCATCCTCTTCACTGGACTGAAGCACCATTTAAGTATGGAGAAGGAAATGGTGTTAATAATTTCATAACAGCCCATTGGGGGTTGGTGGCATTTTCTGTCTTTCTCTGTGGTATTCTCTTCATGCTCACATGCCCTAATTCTCGTCGGTGTCCGACATCTCCAAACTGAAGGGTGAGAGCTTTTCCTGAGAAAGAGTATGTAAAGAAATTCCAACCACCTCGCCTCCATATTTCTATTCAGAAACCTAAATAAAGACAGAGAAGGAGAGAAAAAGTGAGCAAAGTTTTCGTATGACGATTTTTCCTTGCATACATCTCACACCCTTAATGGCTAAAGCCCCACGTTACACTGTGGCTTCTCCTTCCTGTCACCACCCTGACCACGTCCCCTCCCACGAGAGTGAGAGCTCCCCCACAGCTGTCCCCCTGGAGGCAGGGTGGCTTTCCCCACAGACGTGAGTGCGGAGCTCAGGTTTGCCAGCAGCACAGACAAGCCGCACACGCAGCGGTGCCTCGTTTCATAGCTCCTGCTACACAGGTAACAGCGGTACCGTCCTGGCTGCAGAAAGTTGTTTTGTACTAAAAGTAGTGCAGCCCCCTGAAGGAGTAAATTTCCTCCTTCAGAGTCACATACGAAAACACAGAGGCCATGCTGCCTGGTTTCAGCAGTGAGAGCTCGTCAGTGATATCAAGTGTAGGCTCTCCTGAGGTAGACGTTGGTTTGGGGTATGTGTGGGCCCCCCGGGCCTACCCCTGTGGGACTCCTAGAGTCAGCCTGTGTCAAGGCTCAGAAACACTTTGGTAGAACATGATGTGCATGTGGTACACACCCTTAATCCTCGCACTCGGGAAGGCTGAAGCAGGAGGATCACATGCTGGAGCCCATCTTGAGCAGTTTAGACTGTCTCAAAATAAAGCCCTGGAGGTGTAGCTCAGCTTAAAGCCCTGGGTTCGATGTCCAGTGCCACACAAAAAAAGCAGTCTTATAAAGGACATTTGCTGCCCCTTTTACATCTTGTAATTAGTATTTTCCATTTGGACGTTGTGCGGTGGACTGAAGCTTTCTGGGTACACGAAAGTTTACTGCTGGTATAAGCCTAGAGTCTCTTCACCTGCACAGCCTGGTGGCACTCTTCTTCCTCCCGGAAGCCAGCAGCCCTGTGAGCTCCTAGTGGGCTCAGGGCCTGGAGCCACACCCGCTGCACACAGCCACTGTCCCCAGCATTAGCATCCCCAAGCAGACACGCGGCCAAATCCTGCCGCCTCAGGAGCAGCTGGGGTCACTGGGCCTTGGCCACCGTGGGCCCAGACAGTGTGAGTATAAGTCCGGTGTGTGACCCGACTCCAGAAATAATGCCTTCCCAGTGGCATGGAAGAGTGAATAGCTGGCCCGATTTGCTCACAAATTAGCGTATTTCTTTCTCCTCATAAAACTCTGTTGGACAAATGACTATGTGGTGAGTTAAGAGACAGCCACATAAGGTCGGGGATGTAGCTCAGCAGCACAAGCGCCTTGTCTGGCAAGCTCAAGGTCCCAAGTTTGATTCCCAGTACCAAAAAAAAAAAAAAAAGAAAAGAAAGAAACAGCCACATCAGTTGTATTCCTGACAGTGGTTTGGGTGCACAGAAAGGTACTCAATACATGTGTACTAATTTTGAGCTTCAAATAGGACAATCATTAAATGATTTTCTTTACATAGTTCCTTTGTAGATTTTTATGTCAAATGCCAAAATTCAGAGCACTTTTAAATAAATGTTGGCGTTTTATAAATGTAGTATCATAGAAGGTTGTTCAGGAGCCCAAATGCCAAAAGTGTCAAAACTTAATTATTCTCAGTATATTTTTTTAAGTTCTCACCTGGTTTTTTAACCACCGCTGAGGACTCCTGAGCAGGGGCGGGCTCTCCCAGGCTGGAAGTGACGCGTGAGTGAGAGCAGCCAGCCAGGCTCCCAGAGCTGCCACGCACAAGGCCTCTGCCGCAGTCTCGGTCCTGCCATGCGGTGGGGACGGGGCTCCCCAGCAGTGCTGGGGCCAGGCTGAACAGCTGCTTCCAAATGATGGATTGTACGTGTGCAACTCTGTGTGCAAATGTGCGTGTGTACTTACACATATAAATGCCTGCTTGGGCTTATGGTGTATTTTTAAACTAAGATATCCTAACTCTAGAAATATTAATTCACATTGAGTCAAATCCAGTATTTTCTATTTGTCTGATTGTGATGGGGATTTGCAAATTACAGGAACAAATAAAAAAAGGAAAGGGCCCAGCAGAAGCTGCTTCTAGCGTGGGACTCGGGCAGACAGCATAGTGCATGAAACCACGCACTTGGCGACACTGTGGTCCGGCCGGACGCAGCTCGCACTGAGGGCGCTGTTCCCACCAAGCCACAGGCACTGCAGCTCCTCCAGCGAGCGCTTCCGGAGCTCCTGGGCAGCTCCCGCCCACGGGTGTGTGCGCAGAGCCCGCGTGGGCCTGGCCACGCTTCCTCCTGCGGAGGCACCCAGGCGGGGGTGAGCAGGAGCTGCATTCACATCGCTCTGTGAAAAACCCTCAGCGCAGTGGAGGGCACGGCACAGTCACGTGTGTTTATGTGTACACGCGCGCGATGGTCAGAGTATTTGAAAAATGGATTATGGTTGTGTATATATGTTGCCAGCAGTTTCAAAACTGTGCTTCCGCACTAGGATACTTACATGAATTCATGTGCTGCATGATCTCCCCTGATCTCTAATTCTCCTAACCTCTTTTTTTTTTGGAAACAGGGTCTCCCTGTGCAGTTCAGACTGGTCCTGAACTCCCTTTATAGCCCAGGCTGGCCTTGAACTTGTAGTAATCCTCCTGCCTCAGCCTCCTGAGTGCTGGGATGACAGGTGTGCACCAGCACATTTGGCTGAGCTGCCTATTTTTTTATCTCTTTTCTTTTTCCTTCTCGTTTTAATTAAATAAACTGACGTGGGCGGGGGCGTGGCTCAGTGGTAGAGCGCTTGCCTCACAGGCACCAGTCCCTGGCTTCCCCAGCACCACTCACGCAGAGGACCTAGCTTCCTGAAGTGGCACTTGATCAGAAAGAGTGCTCTTATCATTTAAAAATGTGGTGCCACAAGCACCTGCCTGGCAAGTACAAAGTCCTGAGTTGGCTTCCTGGTGCCAAAAAAACCCTGTGGCTCCAGACCGTGTAAAATTAGACCTGTTTACCTGATAGCTCATTTCTGGATCCGTAGTCCACGTTCTGCTGCCTTGCAGTGGGAACACCTTGGAGAAAACGGACCCAGCCGTCCTGGCATCACTTCCTGTGCTGTTTCTTTCACAGGTGGTCATGGCACTTCTCAAATACTGGCCAAAGACTCACAGTCCAAAAGAAGTAATGTTCTTAAATGAATTAGAAGAAATTTTAGATGTGATCGAGCCATCCGAATTCGTGAAGATCATGGAGCCTCTTTTCCGGCAGTTAGCCAAGTGTGTTTCCAGCCCGCACTTCCAGGTATGTGGGTCTGGGGACAGATGATCACATTACTCAGCATATTCATTTGGAAATTAAGGGTTTGGGGCACAGCTGGTCCTGGTTTGCTTTTCCTGTAATTTAAAGGTAAAATTCGTGTTTTTACTTGCACTTCAAAACAAGATGCTAAAACTTTAATTCTGTCAAATATACTTTAATATCCTGTTCTCCTGACAGAAAATATTTTTCTCAGTAAGAGCGACCCAGCATGGCTCCTCAGTAGACATGGTAGCACACTCCTGTAATCCCAGCTACTCATGAAGCTGAAGCAGGAGGGTCGCAAATTGAAGGCCAGCCTGAGCTGCATAGCAAGACCCTGTCTCAAAATGAAAAGGTGTGGGCGTGTAACTCAGTGACAAGAGCCCTCCCCTTGAATGCTGGAGACCCTGGGTTCGGTCCCAGGTACAGCAAAGTACAAAAATGTAAATCTGAAAAGCTCAGCTTCTCTGTGAAGCTGTTTATCTTCAAGCTCAGTGTTCTTCCATACTCAGGGGACCTTGTCTTCCACACTGAGTTATCAGTATTGACAATAGACAGTGTGATGATGAAAACCTCCAGCTCTGGGCCAGATGTGGCACACACCTGTAGCCCCAGCACTCTGGAAGGCTGAGGCAGGAGGATTGCAAGTTTGAGCCTGACCTGGGCTGCCTGGCACCTTGATGAAACCGTGCGTCCCGTAGGAGGCGCTGGGGTGTGGCTGGGTGGTGCGCACCCTTCTTGCTCTGGGGTGGCCTCGCTTCCTAAGCTCCTCATTTCTGACAGAGGAATGTGGACCCTCCGGTCTTCTGAAACAGGATGCCCGATTCTTCGCACTCCCACACTCCCGTCGCGGTCAGAGCCCCTGGGCGCGGTCCCTCACCCCGCCACCCCCAGGCGGCCGCGGCCCCTCCCTGCGGCATGCCTGCCCGCC